GCTGAAAGCCCCCCTGGTATGCGGGAGCACACCCCGGTGCCAGTGCAATCACTGGAGATGGAGCAGGAAGGCTCACCCCAGCTTAGTCTGGCCCAATCCATCTTCCAAACACCCTTTCCCATTGCAGCCCCCCCTGTTTCCCAGGGACCCCGTGTGCTGCGGTGTCTGGGGCTTTTCCAGTCTCTGGGGCATGTCCTCATAAAGACACTTTGATTCCCTGGAGAGCAAGTGCGATGGAAGAGGTGCTGCAGAAAGGGGTGATGGGTTCCATATGTGTCCTTCACCCTTTCCTCTCGGGTGGGACAGCGTTATTTTTCTGCTGTATGGGGTTGAATAAGCAGTTCAGGGTTTGGGGAGGGGTGGAAGGGGAAGAAGGCTGGACAGGGAGGAGCAAGTAGTGCCACGTCGGTGCCACCGCAGACCTGTCAGGCAGCTCCCCAGGTGACTGCAGGTTTGGGTCTGAGCCTGGGGGCGGGCGATGGGCAGCCCAGGGCCGCCCCAGCCCTTGGCTTGCGAGAGGAGATGCCTGAGGGAGGCAGAGCGGGCAGGCAGGGCGAGGGACGAGGCTCAGGCTGCCTGCTGCCCTCTCCTGCCCACGCTGTCCATGCCCCAGCAACTGGAGGAGCTCTGCAGAGTAGGTGTAGGCTGTGTCAGGTGGTGCGGTGCCACCACTGGAGGGTGACCAAGAGAGATGTGCCCATCGCCTGGCTGTCCTCTGATGGCCCCAGCTCTCCTGCTGGCTCCTCGGCATCTTGGAGGTCTGCATCTCCTCCTGGGGGAATGATGGGGATGGTGACGTGTTGTGGTTCCAGGGCCTGACCTGGGGAAGCATCAAGGAGAGACTGGGGGATGCCTGGGGAGGTGCTCGTATATTGCTTAAATTTCTCTCGAAGCCTTGTTCCTGACCTTCCTGCAGCGGGTTGCTGCCTTGAAACAGGAGATGTATTTTGTGGCTTGGATGGAGCGGCAGGTACAATGGGCTGTAGTCAAAAGCAGATTAAATCCCCGGGAAGTCCTTGAAGTGCAGCTCAAATCCACCAGCGAGGTGAATTGGCCGTAGCCCCACCGAACAATACAGCCGTCTTCCCCGGGAGGGTCCGAGCTCCGGGGCCGTAGCGAGCTGAGGAGCTTCAGAGGGTCTGTGCTAAGCGAGATGAAAGTGGCAACAGGATAGCAGCTCTTGCAAAGTCCTGCAGAAATCCTGTAAATTTGGGAGAACTGCTTGAGCTACGCCTGTGTGCTAGGAGACTGTAAAGCAAAATGTTGACCCCGCCGGGGTGGAGAGGGGCCTGGAGGCGTCGCTGTGGCAGAGCATCTCCTTGGTGGAGCCTTCAGAGGTGGGGTGTGGAGGGAGCAAGTGGTGACCTGAAGTTGCAGGTGACTGTTTCTTGCCAATGTTGCCCAAGGATTTGTGATTGCGGGCGGCCCCGCCGGCCTTTTCCAACGCTGTGAGCGGTTTTAGCAAGATGACGTGGAAGTCTCTGGCCACGTTGGTTGTCTGACCAGCGGAGCTCCGATAGTGCGAACAGGAGTTGCTCTGTTATTGTTGGTGAGGAAAACAGACTCTGTTTCTACGTCACCTTTCATTTGCTTTTCTTTTGAATAAAACAAATGTTGTGTGAACGTTACAACTTCTACACCAGGAAATACAGGAAAAAAACCTTTGTCTGCACACGAGGTGTGGTTAAACTGGGGAACAGCCTGGAGAAGAGAAGGCTGCGGGCAGAGCTGAGTGCGGCCGGTCAGGGCTTCAAGGGGGCCCAGAAGGAGGAAAGGGGGGAACAAGCTTTTTGGTAGGGCCAGCTGGGACAGGACAAGGGGGGATGGCTTTAAACTGAAGCAGGGGAGGTTTAGACTGGATCTAAGGAAGAAATTCTTTCCAGTGAGGGTGGTGAAACCCTGGCAGGGGTTGCCCCGAGAGGGGGTGGAGGCCCCATCCCTGGGAACATTCCAGGCCAGGTTGGCCGGGGCTGTGAGCAACCTGATGTGGTTCAAGGTGTCCCTGCTCCTGCAGGGGGTTGGGCTGGGTGACCTCTGGGGGTCCCTTCCCACCCAAACCATTCCATGATCTATGTTTCTATGAACTTGCTGCTACAAGACCTTAGCAAAGGAAGGCTTTTCAGATGATTTGATCAGTGGAAATGTGTACCCGTGCGTATGAAGGTATGAAAGCTGTTTATATAAGAAAGTTCACGTATTGAAGGCCGCCTTACTCTGGGGTAAATTGGGTTTTTTCCCTGCAGCAGCTGCTTCAGGCTTCTTCAGGGGAAGGAAAAAAAAAAAACCCTAAAGAATGACTGGATTTGAGGTTTGTGAGGTGGCTTCTTCACTTGCTGGATGCTCCCCAAATAGGATATGTCTGTGAGAGGCTCAGAAAAGGAGCAGGAGCTGGGGAGGAGAGCGGGGAGTGCAGACGGATTCAGCGTACTGAACTTTAGGGACCAAAGGCTTTGTGCTGCCACGAGAGGAGAAAAAGCTCTTCAAAACACTTCAGTGCTGAGTTACAACTTGGAGGTGCCTTTTTTTCCCTTCGTTAGCCAGGGAACACAGGGAAATAATTCTCTTTGCTCAGCAGCAATAATCCCTCTTTCCTCCTTTTCCCTTCTGCCAGTTGTTTCCTGCTAAGAAGCATCTTCTAATTGTCAGGTACCAGGGCAGAGCTTGTTTTTTGGGAGAGCTGCTTACTGCGTGGTTTCTCTAGTCTTCCCCTTGAAGCTTTTGGTGCTGATGTCTTTCGAGGCAGCTTGGATAGCTGGGTGCCAGTGTACTATGAAACATGTGCCTGTCTAAAGCTGTTTGTCCCAGAGAACCTCCTCCTGGGTCGTGGATGACTCTGTTTTTTCACTGGGTTGAAGCAGACTCGGTGAAAGTAAGCGCACCCAAGTTTTCCTGTTATTTTCCGTTACGATTTTTAACCCAAAAGAATGGTAGAAGTTTTAAGGGCCCTCCAGACCTTCACTCGTCAAGCGCCAGAAATTCCCTTTAGGGAGAAGAGCACTGAGGCTGGCTCGTTTTGGTGATGCTGCTGTTGGAGCTGCAGATAAGTGCCTCTCCAGCACTGTTTAAAGCAAATTTAGGTCTTAACAGAGGTGCTTCACGAGGTTTCAATTTCAGGAAATCTTCCTTTGCCATGCAAAGTTAAACCGTCCTCCCCAAGGCGGTCATCACCCCTGTGCAGCGGCAAGCGAGGAGGCTTTGCCACTCCCAAGTCTTCGACCAGAACGGGCTCCTGAACGGGGGCCTGGTTCTGCAAGCTCTGCTGTACGCGCCTTCCCTCTGTAATGTGAACAGGGCTTCCAGGTCTGTGGACCGTCGGAGAATAGCCCTTCTGCGCGGTTGCGTTTCGCATCTCGGAGCAATGAGCTGGCAAACACTTCTGCTCCATCTGTTTTCCTTCATTGATGGATTCTTTAAAGTCAGATTGTGGTCCCACGGGGACACACTCAACTAATCCTCTGCTTTTAAGATTTTATTTGTGCAATAAATGGATGACAAGGTGGTTTGCAAGTACATAACACAATAAATGGGTTTATAAATGCAACTTTTCTGCAGAGCACTATAGAATAAAACACAATATCGCTACAGCATTTAACACTGATCTCTGGTTCACTCATATTTCAAACAGTAATGTGCCCATTTTCTCATCTGGGAAACCTCTTAGGTTTTTTTAATACATTTTTATAAATTAACCAGGCACAGATTTAATAATAACTTGCATTTGTATGGCTTTTTTCATCTCTGAGGATCTTAGATTGCTCCGCAGACTTAACGGTGTAATACAGAAATTACGTGCCGAAGGATCCATTTGCTCTCTGCCGAAATGCGGCAGTAGTTTGGATTGCTCGGCAGCGCTCGTGGATGCAAATGACTTTGAGGGAAGAAGCTCAAATCCAGCGCACACAGCAGAAGGTGAACTTGGAGGGAAAGGATGCAGCTGGCTTTATGGGTGCTCAGAGCAAAGTCTTCTGAAGAAGCGGTCACAGGGATGGTGAGGAAATCTGCATGAGGAAAGCAGGATGGTTACTGAGCCTGGAAACCTGGATGCTGAACACCAAAAGAAGAAAACACTCCTTCACACCCCCCTAACTTTTGGGATGCATTGTCGCTTCATACAGAGAAGCTGAGGACGTGGAAAGACTTGGGAGATTGGACTCTTCCGCTCATAATGTGTTTCTTTAGCAAGGTATCCAACAGCAGACGACTTTATCCATCAGGACGGGAAACTTCTAAGCAGCAGCATAAGGTTTCTCTCAACTGAAGTGTTTCCAAGTGATCCAAAACTCTTGGATTTGGTGATGTAGGATCTTCTTGTATCACCCTTGCTGGCCAGCTCAGAAACAGAGGAAGGTATTGAGCCTCTTTCCTTGGAGACTTCCACACTCTTGAAAGAGCTCCCACCCAAGTTCTTTGCTTCTGAGATCCCCAGGTGAGAAGGGGCTTTTCCAACCCTCTCTCTTTCCCAGTCGACATGTTCTGCTGTCGCTGGTGCTCAGATATTTGCCGTGGAGGTTGCCCATTCCCCGTCCCGCAAAGAAGTTCAGAACGAAGCTCATGCATGCAACATGTGATTGGAAAAATATTTACAGATAGCAAATTGCCATCTCCATAGAAGGGAAAAGCGAGAAAATGGAAACGTGATATTTATGTTAATATAAAGTTTTTAAAATTTAATTTAAGAGACCAGCTGTTTCTGCTTCTCTTATAAGAGCTTAATTGGTATATAATAGCATAGTTAATTAAATACAAATCAATAGTTTAAAACAGCTAATTGATATTTAATATGTATGGGAAAATATAACTTAGTTGTAATATAATTAACTCAATATTAAATAAGCAATGGAATTGCAATTAGGCCTTTACAACGATTATAAAGTTTATCGTTCTTTAATAAACTTGCAATTAGACAGGATGAGCTGAAAAATTATTAAACAGGTATTATTGAGCTATTAAACATTTATCGTCATTCCTGGTGGAATAGAGCTACACCATCGTACACATTAGGTGATTGTGTTAATAAACCTTTATTACTGCTTTGCAGCTCTCGCCCTTACCGCACCGGTTGATCAGAAACTTGGTTCCCTCCCTGAATTGCGGGTGGAAGAATTGCCTTGAAATTGAGTAAGGAAATCCCAAACGATGGGAGAAATGAGGAAAAAGCAGGAGGATCCTATAGCTTGGGCCAGCGAAGAGAAATCTGCCTTTCTCGCCCGGTCTGTGCATGAAGATCCCTTCCTAGGAGCCCCTGAACTCTTCGTTTCTTTTAAATTGGCTTTTGCTTCGTTGTCACTGCTGCCCCTAATGCCGGCAACGCGTGGCTTGAACTTGCTCGTGCTTTGTCTGACGAGGGGTTCCGTAAGTTTTAAGGTGAATTAATGCAGGTACTTTTGAGTGAGTCAAACCCAGGGTTCTGCCCTGTGTTTTTCCAAGCAAGATCCTTAAGCTCATGCTTCTTCAAAGCGCCTGGAATGCGAAACTTCAACTGTAACTGGTTTTGCTCTGCTGGGGAAAATCGGTTGCCATTGCAAGGAAACGGATGGATTTGCTTTGTGGGTGGGGGACATGCATGGGTTAATGTTTTCAGTGGTATCTCAGCAGCCCCCCTAGAGCCAAAACATTTAAAATGCTGGGTATCTGCTTAACTATTTTAGCTTTAGGTAGCCACTAAAAGCCATGAAGTGGTGAGACATCCTTAGGCATCAGAGTCATCTTGAAGTATTTTACCTTTTAAAGGCGCTCTCAAGTATTTAAAGGTGCCTTTAGCTATAAAGATTTTTGCATGTTCTCACAAATTTATGGTATGAATTATTATAATGCAGTGCTCTTGTATAGCTCCTTTCATCATGGGATATCAAAGTGTTTTATAAGCATTAATTATAGCACCCCTCGGGGAGGCGAATGGAAGATAGACACCCATACCGGTGCGTGCTGATCCAGGTTCCAGACGGGTAATAACCCAGATTTCATCTGGATCCAGCCCACGTGCCTCGGCCCTGCCAATCCCTCTCTCCTCTAAGGGCTGAGTTGTGACCAGGACCTCTTGGGTAGCGGAGCTGTTGCCTTGGGTCGGAGCCCCTCGCCACAGCCTCTAAAGCACAACCTCGTTCTTGGGAGCATCTCACTCCCTGCGACTGGAAGAGGAGATATTCACCCCCCGAGAAGGCTGCGGCTATTGCTGCCCCCATCACTGCTTTGGTTCAGGATGCTCTTGGTGACGTTTGTGGCTGTGGTCCGTGGAGAGTGTGGCAGCCCCTGCCATGCCAGGTCTGCGTGTCCAGGAAAAACCCAACCAGCATCCACAAACAGGCCCCTGTGCCTGTGCCGGGATGTACGATGCGCGTCTTGAATTAGTAAGACAGGAACGCTGGCTTGCTTGGCTCCGCTGTGGGCTGTGCTGCCTTGCGTGATGCTAATCTAATTGTGTTGTTTTAATTACGCTTTGATACCTTGGTGCTCGTTGAAGACTCAATAGGAATCGATGCAGTTTTGCTTTCCTATCAATAAAGACCTAAGCGCCTCTTGCCTGCGTCACAGGCTCTGTGTAAAGAGCCCCAGAGGCTATCGGCGGGCTCGCAGCCGTCTGGCCGCATGCACGTGGGATGGCTGTTCTTGCGGGCATCACCCGACCCTTTGTGGAAAGCCCACTCGGAGTTCAGCAAAGCTGAAAGCTCAGTTCTAGTTACCGGACAGTGCCTGTGCTCAGTGTCCTTCATCTAAAACCAGCAGACCCTAGCAGCAGCCAGCAGTACTAGAGGCATCTCGTGCTCTGCAAGTCAACACTTCTCTGCCTGTGGTTGTTGTGCAGGCTGTGCGGGGACGGTAGATCACATCACCTCTACTGCAGAGCAAGAGGGCTGGTTTCCATCTTTGCATCCGAGGTGGTTGCTGGTTGCCTCTTCATGGTGATTAGGACCCCGAGCCAAGAAACCACTGAGGATGTGGATAGTTGGTGCATCTGCCCTGGTTTGTCTCATCTTCAGACATCTATGTCTGCGTTAGTCACCACTTTTTATGGCCAATGAGAGGTACGAGCGCCCCAAAGTCATCGCGAGGAGGTGAAGTGAGTCGCTTTCTGGAGATGCCTATTTCTCTCTGGGGCATTACCTCTGGTAGCAATGTGGATTTCGGAGGGCAATTAAATTTCAGCTTACCCTAAGCATCTCAAGAGACTTACTTTTGTCTGAGCATCGACTTTGGTGGGATTACACATGTGATTGATTTCAGTTAAACGATGCTGTCCTCCCTGATGGGAGCCTTAGGACCAGGAGCTGTTGTTCCTCAGCCTCTTGCGAGGTGGAGCCCTGTTCAATGGTAGAGAAAGTGCTTTACAAGGCTTGCTTGTACCCTGAGCATCCTGGGGCCAAAAGAAATCTTGGTTTTTTCTGGGCTTAGACTCAGATTCTGTCGCATACCGTGCGCGGGAGGATGCTAACCCCTCTGCTGGGATGCCGTAGCAGCTAGTGGTATCACGGAGGGATTCTGTATATCTGGGTATGTACCCATCAAAATCCGGGTGTCTTCCCTGCACCTCACATCATGCTGCAGCGAGTGACTTTCCTCTTCCTCTCGCCACGGTCCAGATCTGCAATCCAAACCCAAGTTTGCGTCGTGGCCCTAAAAGCCAAGGCTGCCAGGCAGCGCTCGCTCTGCTCTAAAGCTGTCGCTGCGCTCTCAACCCTCCCGCTTCCCTGCCTGCCCCTCCTGCATGCGGCACAACTTCGTGACGCTCCCCAGCGCTCCTTCCTCGGCAGAGGGGGGCTCTAAAGAGACCACAGCCACATTAAGTAAACATCAAAGGGGCTTTGATCAGCGGGGCTCTGTAGAGCACAGAAGCCCCCGAGGAGCTCTGCAGGTCCACAGGCAGGCAGCATCGGGGACATGGTACCTTAATTTTCTCCACTGTGACACAGGAGAATTTGTTTGAAGAACTAGAGCTCTTTGCCGCTCGGAGATGCGCACGGGGAGAGCACGCATGCACGCAGCCTACTTCTGGAAAAACCCGTGTTCAGATCTCTCCCTGTTTGTTACCGAGAGTCAGAAAGCCCCATTAAGAAATGAAGGCATCAAAGGCACGCGCCTCCTCAGCCTCTGGCACTTTGCTGCTTGTAGGGTCACTTGCTCGCTTCTAAAGAGCAAGATGCCTCAAGCCAGGCTTGGCTTCCCCTCTGAGGGCCATTTCCCGTTTTACTTTGCTGCCCGCTAAGGGAGAAAGGGATTAAAGGGTCCATATCGTGGCGATGCGCTGGCGTGGAGGAAGATGCAGCTCGTTCCCTCTGCCCGGTGTAGAGGAGCGCTTAAGAAATGGGCCAGGGAGGGGACGGGGACCCTCCTGTCCCTAGACAGATGTGGTGCAGCGGAGCAGCGCAGCAGCAGTTGGTTTGGGACCCCTGGCAGAGTTCAGCTGTGAGGCCAACCAGAGATTTCAGTTACGTGCCTGCCTCGCCGGCGCTTTACCGGCACGGCGTAACCGGCAGGATTTGCTCCCTGCAGCATTCCCACCTGCTTGCTCTCATCCCCAGCCTGCTCTTCTAACATCACTCTCTCTTCTCTTGCAGAACTGGGGCTCCCAGGAAGAGGATGCTGCCTAGTACTGGGGTTCATGTACAAGGAGAAGTACCGCAGGATGACTGAAGGTGAGCGGTTCCCTCGCCTTCCATTCTTCCTTCCTCTTCAGCAATCTCATCGCAAGGCGCGTGGATGCGCTCCTGCTAGGAACGTGCTAGGTTCTTGCTCGCACCGAGGAGAAAATCCCAATTCCCCTTTGATCTCTGAAACATCTTAATGGGCACGGATGTGGGAAGCCCCCTGCACAAAGCTGGGAGAGAAGAGCAGGAGCTTATTAGTTCCATACATCCAAAATCCACTGTCTTTTTTTTTTCCCATGCAAAGGATTTGTCGCATGGGAAGCTCTTCCAGCAGTTGTTGCATCTAGTCTTTTTATTCTAGTTGGGTGGTAGTGCCTTACCGTGACACCTTGAGTACCAATTTTCGGTGCCTTTGCACCCCTCGGAGGAGCTGTTCTGTTGTTTATCAACCCCCCCACCCCCCATGCGCTTTGGCACAGTTCTTGCTAAAATTTCCCTGTTTACATTCTAGCCTTCCCCCAAGCACTTTATGAGCATTGATTAATCCATAGAAATATCATAAATAATTATGAAGCATCGTAACTAAACAAAAACTATTTATGCTTGGAAGAACTGGCACCCTCGCTTCTGGTAGTTTCGTTGCTTGGCTTCTTTTTCTGGAGCCAACCCTGGTGCAGCACCGTCCCTGATTAATGCTGGATCAGAGGAGAATTAACGGTCCCGGAGCCCTGCAAGATGGAGGGGTCTTGAGGTTGCCTCGAGGAGAGTTTGGCTACTGTGAGGTTACTTTGGGGACTGCAAACTCAATCCAAACATGGATTTAATCCTTTTTTGGGGCTTTGATTGGGAATGATTTGGATGAAGGGTGTGGTGGCTTGCCCCCCCCCATGCTTCCTTTCGCTTGCCTGGGCTGGTGTGTTGCCAGCAGTTAGCCCGGGGGGGTCTGCTCTTGCAGGAAGCCTCGTCTTCGTGAGAGTAAAAGGTACATTAGCTTTCATGGGGTAAAAATCTCACGGAGGCAAGTTTATGGCTCAGATATCAGTGAGAAGATCAAAGGTGCCTTCAGTTTCCCAGGAGCTGATACTGAGCTGATAACATGGGGAAAGTACTTCACAAGACTTCACCTCATGCTTGTTAATTACTGCATGCCTTTTAAACATTGATTAGAGCACGCTTTTAACGGGAAGGGGCTGCCCCTTGGGAGAATGGATGGCAGAGTCTGGTCCGAGTGCTGTGGGAAGGGGCAATCTCTCTCTCCATGCCTTCCTGTCCCTCGAGGCTCTCGGAGAGGCTGCCTGCGGCTCTGCTCAGACCGGCAGGAGCGCCCCGGGGGTGCTCCCAGGGTGTCCGAGAGCCGGCAGGACCGTGGGCACACCTGGGCATCCTGCTGATCCTTTGGGATCCTTCCCAGAACCTCTCATCCTGTCCCCCGCCCCCCGCCGTGGATTCAAAACCTGTGTCTGCCTACGAAGCGAGCCCCCTTTTCAGGCTGAACGTGGCTTTGTATGGAGAGAACAAAGAAACATGAAAGGCCAAAAGTAAAGCCTTTGTGTGGGAAAGGGAACAAAGTGTGCCTGCCTGGTGCGCTGCAGCCAGCCGCTTTCTGGCCCCCGCAGGCTCCAGGACCATTACATCGAAAGGTACAACCTGCCAAAAACAAAGCTGGGGGATTTCCATGGCTATAAAGACCACCTAGGACTCGTGTTTGCACTAGAGGCGGTTCTGGATGACGATTGCAGGCCTCAAGCCTCCCGGGTTTGTGGTGGATTTCAGTGCAGATCCATGCAGCGTGGCGTGGGCTGAGCTCTGATGTGAGCCAAGGGGGGGTTCTGATGTCTGGTCATCTACAGCAGCACGGCGAAGGTATTTTCCTCAGGTATACCTGAGCCAGACTCTTTGGGCCAGTTACCTTGGAGGGATAAGGAGAGAGAGAGCTTCCCTTTTATATTTTTGCCAAATGAGAGCTTTTCCTCTTTATTGCATGATGGTGCTAATGAATAGCCCTACTAATAATTACAGGGTAGCCGAAGGAACTGAAAGCAGAGGTAGGCAGTGGGGCAATCGGATAATTATATGAGGTGTGGGGTCTCCATCGTAGTGGAAATGGGTAATTACAGGGATCATTAGAATCTTGCTGTCACTTATTGGAGGCATCTACAAAAGGCACTCGTAGGTAGAGACTTAGATGGAGGCCTTGTCAGCATGGAGGAATGGCTCGTTGGTGGGCAAGCGCTTCTCTCGGCTATCCCCGTGGAGAAGATCCAGGCTGGGCATTCGCAGACCACTGTGGCAACCTCTCCCAGAAGGGTAAAATAAGGGTTGTGGCTTACAGATGCTCTGTGGCCATGCCCAGCGAGGGTCTTTGGTAGCATTATGTTGTTTGTTCACCAGCTGGATGTCCATTAACACAATTGACTGCAGATGCGGGCTCTTCTGGCTGAGCTGTCCTCCAGGGCAAGAAGCCAAAGTTAAGTGTCCGAGAACTCGCCTCTGTTAGTGTTAGTTAACACGTATCGGCTACTCATATCAACCTATGCCAACCCACATCATGAAAAAACAGGTCTGGGCGAGGTGTTGGTGCCTCTCCCAGCTGTAAAGCAACAGCGCAGCCTGGGCTGCTGCCGGCACCACTGGTGACGTCCAAGGCAAAAGGGATTTGGGTGCTGTCCCCTCAGCTGGCACTGCTGTACTGCATTGGATGCGATTGCCTCTTGCTTCGTTGCCACTGTGAAGCCCGCACCGGGAAAGGTGCTGGATTTGGGCACGATCTGGGGGGTGGATGGGCTGGGGAGTGGGAAGGCGCTGCTCCAGCCCGGCTGCTCTGTGCTTATCCCTTTGCTGTGATTGACGATTGCCTCGTCTGCGTGCTGGGATCGCTGTCTGGTGTGCGGCTGTGAGTTGTGGGGTGAAATTAAGCTGGTGACAGTTGTAGGCAGAGGGAGAGAGAGGTAGAGCTGTCTGTAATGACGGCCTTGCAATAAAGACGCTTTAGAGTTAATCCTCCACCATCTGTCTTCATTCCGCTAATAACCCACTCAATCAGATGCTGCCGACTGTTTGTTAACATTCAGAAACAGATACATAATCAGGAGGAGCGTGCAGTTTACTCACGAGGGGCTGGATTCCTTTTCGGGAACAACTCCCCCCCTGGCCACGGCGGCGGTCCGGTGGGAGCCATGGCTTGTGGACTGGGTGTCCCCAGGCACGTGCCGTGCAACGGAGGCGATGCTGAGGCTGGCGGTGAGCTGAGTTACCCTGCTTCTCCTAGGGCTTGTGCTGCCCTGGCTCAAGGTGATTTGGGAGTAGAAAGGTGGTATCTGTGAGGTGGGTCACCTTAGGCCCCCGAGAATGAGGATCTCAAACTAACCTGAGAATTGGGCTTGTTTTTCTATTCCCTCTTCCCCTTCACGTTCAGTGAATGTGGGCAAGGGGGTGCTGAAAAATCTCTCCGTGCTTGGTCCCTGCCTGTCAGTAGCTGCAGGTCCCAAGTTGGGCTTGCTCCGTTCTCCTCTGCATGGTCAAAAGCAGATATTCAGATGTCGATCCTGCTCCTGCTATTTTTCTTCTTCTCTCCTGCCTTTGACTTCTTGCCAGATCTAACTCGAGTCATTAGCAAGCGTCACTGCAGCAATTATGGCACTTTTTGGCTGCCATTCATAAAGCTACTAACGGGAACGATTAAGCGCTGAGAGGTGTCAGCCTTCTCCTTCACCACCTGTTCCCACCAGCCGTCGGCTGCTGGAAGGTGCCTACAACCCTCTCTCGCCTCCCTCTCCGGGCACTTCGCTGGCTCTCGTGTCCTCGCGTGCAGCGGCCATGTGCCATCTCTGTGGGATGGAGCCTCGGCTTTGTCACCGCGTGGCAGGGAAGGGTGGGCTTCATCCTGGTGTCCAAGGTTGGGTGGTGAAAGCAGGTGTGGCTGGGAAAAGCGATGGAAGAGGGACTTGGTGCGGCATCCTCCTCCTGGACCAGCTAATGGTTAATGTTCTGTGCTCAAGGAAGGACAAAGTTCCTCACTTGGCCTATAGCCCTGCTTTCTGCTTTGCTCACATCCAAGCCATCGGTTAGGGACAGGCACAAGGCTAAAATCTGTACCTTAATCTGCAATCAGTCTCTTCGGTATCGGCCGCCATAGATGCAAGTGCTGCCTGGTGTGCCAGGAGAGGGGCTTGTGCCGGAGCCACCTCTGGCAGCAGCCGCCCCCCGTTTGCATCGTGGCTGGAAGCGGAACCCGGTGTCTGTGGTTTTCTGCGTTCGAGGTGTCTCCGTTCACTGTACAAAGCACTGCAATGCCAGCAGCCATTACCACGGAGCCGCGGCTCCACATAGCAACGAGTGCTGCTCTGTGTTTAATTGGGAGAGGGTGTTGCTTAGCAAATCATATTTGCAGGGTAATGAGTGTAGAAATCTGCTCAGATAAGGGCTGTCATCATCCAAGGCAGGAGATTTTTCTCTAAAGGCCACGTGGATGTTGGTCAGTGTAAGACAAACCTTGAGTCTTGGGAGCATAGATGGTGAGAACTTGAAAGTTTTGTGGTCTGAGCTGCAGGTCTCACCTTGGCTCTTTGGTTCAGAAGGTTTGGGATCTTGCTTAGAGGTGCTGGGACTAACGCAAAGCTCTGATGCCTCTTGTTGGGGGAAGATGGAGGTCCCAAAAGGGGACCATCCACATACCTCAAACGTAGGCGATTCATCCACGTACCCCAACCGTGGGACACAGGTCAGGGTTGGCCCAGAGGGGTGGTGACGCTGGTGGCCTGAACTGAAGGAGAGCCACCAGCCTACTCTCCTTGTGAGACGGCTCGCGCATCCATGCAGCCCACGACTGGGGGGGCGATTCGGCTCGGCCCCTGGCAGACCCGGGCAGCCGCCGGCTCCGGGCTTGCATTACCAGCCGTGGCTGCGAGCTCGCGAGCTGTGAGCAGCGTCGCTCTGGGTGGGTTTTCTTTCCGCCGTCAACCTCAGCCTATCTCTAGTCTGCAGAGAGGTTTGGGTTCTGGGAGACGTGGGGAGAGAATTGTGTATGCATATGAAAGCTGTTTTTATGG